GGGCAGCAGACCGGACTGATTTGGCGGGGTCCCAAGATCCGATTATATACCCTCACTCGCAGAGAGTAGGCACTCACCCATGAGGCCGAGAGAGGGCATCTGGAGGAGGGGGCAGGGAGGAGGTGGGGGAAGAGAAATGACAATTGACATACCCCGGGGGGTGCCAATTTCGGGATGTCCATCAGTTCCCCTCAATGGCCATGGGGGCAAGAGAGAGAGAGAGAGAGAGAGAGAGAGAGAGAGGGAGAGAGAGAAAGAGGGGAGCGAGTGAGCTGGGTGCCCATTTGGTCAGTCACCGTCTTCTCTTGTTGCTCTCCTGGCAAATACGTGGAAAGAGGGGGAAAGAAGACGGTAGGCACTCACCCCCAACTGGGAAAGAGAGAGAGAGAGAGAGAGAGAGAGAGAAAGAGAGAGAAAGGGAGAGAAAGCAAAGAGGAAGGGACAGAGAGAGAGACCAAAAAAGTAGCCCTTTCTTGCATCGTCTCGGATTGCAGATGGCCGTGATCCGTATTGCGCTTGCTCAAATACCTTGGGTAAGGTTTTTGCGGAAATACGATAAGGAGCCGACATATTACGCCTACTGCTCAGCAGCTTCCTTTTTTAACCATGGCCGATTTTATAGAGCATGAAATTCAACAACTCCAGGCCATCAAAAACTGGTGAAAAAGAGCGATTTTGAAGAACTGAAAGTTTACATTTTGCTAGGCGCTCGTCAAAATTGGGCAAACACTGCCCTTTACGTCGAGTTTTCTGCAAGACCTTAGTCAGTCAGGAATTTTTGAACGAGTGGACCTATTTCCAATTGCAAGTCGACGAAATGAGCTATATCAGGTGGCAACTCTAAATGCCTTTAAAATCACTGGTTATAGCCGAGCTGTTTAGCTCTGTCGACTACATTATAGATAATTTCTTCATGAACTCATCAAGGATACTGGTTGAGCCGGTTAGTTGAGTAATTAGAATCGGATCAAGTCAAACATTCATAAACAGAAGTATCGAATAATTCAAAAAAGCGGGACAGCTCGGCTCTAATCGCATTTACATGCTAAAAAATCCGGTATCCGATATCTCTACCTTAATACCTTAAATGAACTTTCGATACCTTATATCGACGGCCAACCAGCGCAAAATACGTTGAATCAGATTAGCTTCCAAAACTCCACAGCAAAAAAAGAAGTTTTTCGATACGGCCTCGTGGTTTGTGCTTGGGAAACCAGATACGTATCGGCGCCAGGAACCTGTGGGTTGCTATATTTATATCGATGGGCAGCCGCTGACCCATCTGTCTAACGGTGTGGGGAAAGGCCCCTGGATGGCTTGGGGGTACACGAGCTCTCGAGATACAATGGGTAATGACCGTTGGTGTGAAAATAGGCTAGACATTCCATGGCGCCTCGGACTTGCGCAACACTATCTCTCTCTCGGTCTCTCTCGCTCTCTCTCTCTCTCTCGCCATCGTGTTATCTCGCCCTCGCCTTCTCTCTCTCTCTCTCTCTCTCTCTCTTTCTCACTCTCTCTTTCCCTCTGTCTCTAGCTGTCTCCCTCGCCCAACCATACATAAGAATACTGTTTCAATACATCAAATCAGAAAATTCCAACCAACAGTAGCAAGGAAATAGCTATGGCTCCCCCACCCGCCAGCCCAACAATTTCTGCTGCTGTAAACGGTTCGAATCACACGCTGGACCCTCAACAGTCTCCGATAAGAATCGCTAAAAATGCGTCAGGCGAAAGATGATTTTGCGCTCCACGTGTTTATTGTAGGAGCGAGAGAAAGAGAGAGAGAAAGAGAGAGAGAGAGATATTCGGAGAGTGAGGGAGCGAGAAAGAGATGGCAAGGGGTGAGAGAGACGGATACATAGCGAGAGAGGGAGAGAGGGTTACAGAGCGATAGTGAGCGAGAGAGCGAGAGAGCGAGTGAGTAAGCGCAACAAAGTGATAGGTATTGCTTGATTCCAAGCGAATTTAATGAAATTCGAAACGGAAGGGCAACCACATGCCAAAACACTGCTTTCATCTGCAAAAAATTGCCATTTTGGGAAAGGAAAACGCCAGAAAGGCGAAACATTTTAACAAAAAAAAAAACAGTTGGGGGCGAAAGCAAAATCTGAGAAATCTTACGACGGAAGCTGGCTAAATGGCTGTTTCGTGAATTTTGTGTCGCAAACAGTCAACATCGATTTGCGGGGGGAGAAAGCCTTACGTAAGTCATCGCAGATGGCCGCCAAAATGTTTCAGACGAAATTCAGAAAAAAGGCAGTCAATAGATGCCAGGTTTTCTAAATGTTCTGAAAGGAACCAAAAACTTGAAAGAATGCTGCATTCCAAAATGTCGAAGTTTTTGAAGCCATTTTGACTTGATTTCGCTTCATTTTTGTAGGGCAAAGCAAATTCCGCTATTAACAGCAAATCATGTTATAGCTCAGTTAAAAGAACCCAACCATCCCAAAACGATTAGAAAAACCGGGAAAACCGGCTGACCTCGAGCCGTATCAGCCCCTACCTTTTTCAGTTAAAAGGGGCGTGCCCATGTGTTTATGTGACGTAACTGGTCGGGGAGATTGACAGGAGAATGGGGGAATTTTCATAGCCAGTAGCACGATTGGGAGGCTGCAAGAATTTTGGCTGAATCGGGAATGAATGATTTTTTGGGCAACAGCGGGGTGCAGTCATGACAAAAAAAGCACGCCCCGGTGACTCGAAAATATTTTGCGGGAAGACGGGCCGGTCAGGAGGGGGTCATTTTACTGCAGAAGTGCTGGTTTCACAAAATTTCTTAGCTTTCGCTTGACAGTAAACGGTTTCCAAAAAAACCGTAAGATCAGCATCGCCCTGGTAGCTGAATCAAGCTAAAAAATTGGCAGTTTTCATGGATCTTTGGTCCCAAAATTCGTGCAGTGAAATGCTCATGTTGAAAAACGAAAAGTGCATTTTTTCTCACTTTTCCAAGAGCTTTCGCTAGATAAATAAATCGTAAAAATCGGCCGCTGCTGTGGACCGCTAGTGGGGGGTCGATTTTTTGGACACCTTGTATTGAAATTCCGGGAAAACATACGAATGACACATTTTACGGCCACCAGCTTGCTGCCCTCAAAATCGCAGCGCAGTCCCGGCTAACGTCTTGAAGGCCGTTTTTTGAAGGCGTGATACCTAACAGATTCGCTGCTAGTTCGCCAAAAAGGTCTTGAAAGGGACGTCTCAACATGGCGAAAACGTCTACGGTGGCGGGGAACGGCAAAAAGCCTACGACACTCGGGATTCCCAGGCCGTTTCCGATCCAAGTACTAACCGAGCCCAACGTTGCAGCACGAGGGAAGGGCCGTGTACTCGGCCCAACGTGTACACCCTATGGACGTATGGACCGCGCGCACGGCCAGCCCGTGCCGTGGCAGGCAATTGCCCCCCTTTCCTGGTGGGCCCCACGCCCCCACGCCAGCTGCACCTGTGTAACTGGTACCATCCCGCTGCGGGGGTCCGGTTCGACCCCGGCCGCGACAAAATTTTGCTTTTCCAAGTCCCTGTGCCCCTTTAACTTGGCAGATCGGACGGGATGCCGTGCTTTCAACGTGTGATGGTCGTAGGCGAAGGTGGGAAGGGCAAGGTGGCTCAAGAGAGTTTGGGCCCACCACACGCTCTGGACGCTTAAGACAGCTAGTGAGGCCTCAAAAAGTCCTTATAATTGACCGCATACATTCGAGATAAGTTCCGTATAACTTCTTAATATTCTTCCCTTTATATTCTCAATACCACCTTCAAATATGGCACGTCTACATGTTCTCCAGATCCACCCCCTCATACGGAACAGAGCCCATTCTTGATGGGGTACTGCGTGAGAGAGAGTGAGTGAGTGAGAGAGAGAGAGAGAAAAGAGGGAGAGCGAGACGGAGAGAGGGTTAGAGAGATAGAGAAATGCAAAGATGGGAAGAGCGGAAGCGCATGCGGGGCCTGCTGAAGAAGCCTCTATTCCTTCTCCCTCTCTCTCTTGGGTGAGAGAGGAATTGTTTGCGGAAGAAACATCGTGCCCCCTCCATTCCATTTGGCCACCGCTCGCCCGCGCCGTGCGCTTTCGGCTTTGCAATTTGCATTCCCAAATGATTCATAATTGATTAATTGGTGAATATTTAATTCTGGTAAACGCAAAATTGTTTCTGGAGTCTTTGAGGATGTTTTGAGGTCAGGATGATCAGCGATTTTTTGAGGCTGACAAGCGATGTGCTGGGGGCACTTCTCTCTCCTCTCTCTCTCTCTCTCTCCCTCTCTCTCTCTCTTTTCTCTTTCTCCCACTCCCCCTCTCCCTCGCTCGGTTTGCTGTTGTGAGGATTTATCCCCTCGATTCACGATTCCAAAACATCGCGGAAATTTTAACGACATTTGGGATATCGTAATTTTACTAAATTTCGTACTTTTCCTTGCTTGCCTAGTTTCACCCCACCCCCGTGCATCGTCATCTTCAGGCGGTGTGCAGCCTCCACTCATCCACCCGGATCTATTTGCTGTCGGATCGAGTTTTCGCTTGCTTTGATTCCAAGTGGGATGACAAGTTTTTCGAGGCCCCCGTCCACCAAGAGTTTCCCAGGCTGTTAGGTTGATTTATGTAATGGATTTGGGTTTGGCAGCTATATAATGGTTGCAGTTACCAGTGAATTGTGCTTTGGAACGCCGAAGAAACATCCTTTCTTCCGTCTAGTGAGTCTCGAATTGTTTCACTCTATTTCTGAGCTTGTCTTCATCTTTTCGCGTCAGGATTTTGATCAGACCGTAAAATAGCCATGCTGATTGTGAACGTAAGAGGGCTACGTAAGAAGCTGTGCTTTGGAACGTAGCGGAATCGTACAATACCATACCTGGGTCATTTCTGCGACCTTTTTCGGCTTCGTTCTCCCATTGGAGTATTCGTCGTCGGTATTCTGATGTGTTTGGAGTTCTTTTCCCAATTTTTCAAATTCCAGATGGACCTGCAACTGCTTACGCGGCCCAAGTGCTATCAACACACTACGGTAATGGAAAGTGAAGGACCGATGACGGCTTGGCCGATGAAGGTGAGCTTCATACAAATTTTTCGGCTAAAGACCGTTTTTTGTTGTTTCCATGATACCATCAGTGCAGTTTTAGTTAACGTAAGTATTTTTATTTTTATAGAAAATTTTATAAAACAATTAATATTCCTTTTCAGTGCTACTACTACCGTAAAACCAACAGCCTTCCAAAGTTCCGCGTTGGTGGTACCGTGTCGATTTATCGTAGTCAGCTCTGCTTACGGCCAAAGTTTTTCAAGCCGTTTTTCGTGGATCTGGTGTCGATTGGATATATAGGTAACGTAAATATCATACTTCCGTTAAAAATTTGTTTCAGAATCCCAGGAAAACCTCTTGGACCTTCGGGGTTGCCAGTTCCGGTTGATGATCTCGTTGGGGGAATTTTGCGAGGTAAGTTTACGCGAGGTAGCGTTAAATTAATTGATTGCATAGGTCCAGCTTTGTTACATCTAGTAAAAAAAGATTAGATCGAATTAAAATATAAAATCCATGATTTTCAGGAAGTGCGGGATTGGCTTCGAGTCATCGTTCTTCGCGCTAGAGTGCCTCATACTTTACTGGGAAGACCACTGGATTGGCAGGTAATTGCAGAAAATCGATCCGAACCTAGTAGCCTAGCCGTGTTTTTTGAGGAATACGCACTTGAGCAACGATATTTTAACAAAAATCCATTAAATTTTCCATTTCAGGTAGAAGAGCCCCGACAAATGGACATGAGCGCCGTCTCCCCCCTGTCGTGCTTCAAGCTGTGGACCAAGAATCGGGCGCAGAAGCCCGCTATTGAATATTGATTTCTAAAAATGTATAATTTCATACTGTATATATTTGAGGTGATAAACCGTCGAAATTTTCATTGTACCAAACCAATCAGTGTGAGAGAGAGTGAGAGAAAGAGTTCCACAGAGAGAGAGTGAGTGAGAAAGAGAGCGAGAGAGCGAGAGAGAAAGCGAGGGCGAGAGAGAGCGAGAGCGGGAGAGAGGGAGAGAGAAAACGAGAGAGAGAGAGAGAGAAGAGAGAGAGAGAGAGAGAGAGAGAGAGAGCAAGGAAGCGAGAAAGTCACTCTAGCTGGTCATTAACTATCGTAAGCCCTATGTACTGGCTTTGACATTAAAAACCAAAGTAAGACCTGTGGTTTTCCTCAACCGTGTACTCTGTTGTCGTTGCAAAATTGCATGGTAAGTCACTCATGCTCTAGGTGCAGTTTTGGACCTCCTGAAAGCTACAATTTCTTGCAGGCCAGCGTAATCGTGTCTTTTTCAGAATTGGTGGCTAAAAACCAGTACAGCGCTCGAGCTTAGCTATACCAGTTAATTAATAACTAGTTACTTATCACTATCTGATTTCACGTATTTATCCAGTAAACGACCAAAAATGAATGCAACCCACTCTCCGGATGGCGAAGGCTTTACACCGTTTCCTGAATTTGTCGACAAATTCAACAACCTGCACGCTAGGAGGGATAGATATGGCCATGTCAGTTGTGTCGCTTTTCACCTGTTTTTTGAATTGCGTTGTATTACGCCACTATATAAAGAATCGGAATGCGGTGTCGCCGTTTGTGCGCATTTGTTTATTCACGCTGGTTACGGTATGTTTTATACCTTTTATCTGAAACCGATTTTGGGTATGTTTTCTGATTTGTTCAAAGGGATAGGGGCGGCATATGTCAATCGATTACGCGCGGGAAAGAATGTCTGCGCTCTCACTGGGCGCCCTCGTCCCACTGCATCTGTTGAACCCCCCTTCCCCACGGGGGGTTCAACAGATGCCGTCCTCATCTCTTTAATCTGTTTTTAGGACATGATCTGCCTGGCCACCGACTGTGTAGCATGGGACATTCCAATCACTGGATATGCGTCATTTTACACTTCGCCGATAATGCAGCACCCATTTACCCCGCATTTCTTTACATTTCTACAAACAACATGCCGATATCTGCAACTATTATTTGGATGTATGGTTGCGTTCAATCGATATACCATGCTGCATTGGGGCGAGAGCCGGAATGATAGGGTAAATTGGAATATCGGTTTCTTGCAGCTCTGTCCCGCTCTCTTTCTCTCTCTTTCACTCTCGCTCCCGCTCGCTCTCCCTCTCCCCCTATCTCTCTCCGGCCCAACCTCCCTCTCACTCGCTTTCTCCCGCCCCCTCTCTCACTCTCACGCTCTCTCTCGCTCTCCCCTCTCTCGCCCGCCTCTCCTCTCTCTCACTCACTCTATCCCTCCCCCCTCTCACACTCTCACGCTCCCTCTCCCTCTTCCCCCTCTCTCTATAGCTCTCTCACTCCCTCTCTCTCTCTCTCCCCTCTATCTCTATCCATCTATAGCTCTCGCCTCTGGCTCTCTGGCTCTCTCACTACCTCTCTCGCTCTCCCTTTCCATCTCTTTCTCCAAAATGTAGGTCGGGATTACAGTTCTGGGCCTCCCATAGTTGGAGTTTATTGCTTGGGAGCTTCGTCTTGGCCGCAACCGCTGGCGCAATCTATGCCTCAACAGGGTCTCATTTTGCGCTGCTTGGGCGGCGTACTTGGGCGTTAATAGCCGGAGAATCGTTTTTTGTAAGTTTACTGGCGACAGTTCATCCCCTAGAAGTTCAGCTCGGCGTCAAAGTTGGTTTGCTGCAAAACGGTAGCTGGGCAATCCTATTGCTTGTCAGTTTCTGCATCAATATTCGCGTTTATTTCGGGCTTGTCGGGTATCAGAAAAGTTTGAAGAAAGTTTTACCGATGTCAGCTACCATGGACGTTAAGCAGGGAATCAAGAAGATCTCGGCGGTACGTTAAAAATCTGGGGTTCTTTGGCATTTTCGGGGGGGGGGGGAGACCGAATTTACCCTAATAAAGCGAAATTTTTTGCAAATTTTGAACTGCTAGTGGAAAAATGCCTAGTAACGTCAAAATTAGTGTTTTAATCCTGTTTTTGGTAAAATTTAACTATATTTTAAGCGAAAAATCGATCAAAAAAAGCTTAGAGAAAAATTAATTTCAGCTTTGGTCCAAAACCGGCAATTTTTGGTGTCAAAAAGCTAGGTCTTTTACTGTTAAGGAATTTTTAGTATTTTTGCGTTTATAACAGTGAAAAAAAAGCAGCTTAGAAAGACGTCCTTTCTATGAAATAGAACCATCGGAACTTTTTAAAAGTGGTCTGCTCCCCCCCTCCCCCCGATAATGCAACAGAACCAATATCGGCGTAGTCAATCAGCTTTTAAGGTGGAAATAAAGCTTTGTTTCGTGAGTTTGTATACATTTCTGTTCACGACTTTAATGATCGGCGCCCAGGTAACCCGAAATTAACCTCGAAGCGGGGAATTATATTTAGGCCGGCACCATTGTGATGGTTGAGGGCACCTGGCAGGTTGTGGCTTTTGTAAGTTACAATTATTTGGGAATATGGACAATTTCGATAGCATACCCTCTGCGCATCAAAAATGCCGCTTCGCGGCGATTTTGCGGAAAAGTAGGCGGCCTTGAGATGTTCTGCAAGGCGCTAAGGGATAAACCGTTTAGTTTTTCTCCGGACTCTGCACGAAGTTGCTCTCCGTGACGACACTTTGGATTTGGTTCGCGTTTTCACAGGAATTACGCAGTGTACTCTGGCTATTTTTCATCGGCACGACAAACTCCGTGTCTGTGGCCATTACATAAATGTTTTCTCGGTGATCACGGGAGCTTCGTCTAGCCAGAATCGCATATGCCGCTCCTAATAAAACCTACTATCCGGCCCCCCGGGGGGGGGAAAAAGGTGGGGGTTTTTTTTTTTTTTTTTTTTTTTTTTTTTTTTTTTTTTTTTTTGGGTTTAAATTGTGAATTTTTGCTGGGCTATGAGCGGAATCGAAAGGAAACGCTTCACTGATTCTGTGGTTAATTGTTCTCTGATGTATTTAGAAAAATTTCTATTATTTGCCTTTTTTTCTCAGTTGTTCTCGTGAACACGCTAATAATTTCCCAGCTGAACCATGCAATTTTCCGACCGCTTCGGCCCCATTTTGCCCAAAGTGGCATATTACGATGCGTCTTCGAGATTAAGCAGAAGCCAGCAAGCCAAACCTACATACAGCGCAGACTTAATATTGTTTCGAGAGTTTTATTAAATTACGCTTTTTAACGTTTTTATAAAATCGGGGTTAGCGGGCGTAGCCCGCTAACCCCTTTTGGTTTGAGGTACCCCCCCATACGACTCTTTTGAGGTCCTTTTCCGGATTTAAAAAAGAACCACGCATCGGATCGCAAAACTGAATAAACCATCGGAACCGGCGACGCTTTTCACATACTATAGCTTCAAAATTTAAAAAAAAGTTAAATTTCGAATTTTAACAGCCGATTTAAATTGCGTTTCGAGGGGGGTCTGCGTTTGTTTGTATGTATGTATGTACGCAAAACCTTTGTAGTCGTCAAAAAGTGCCTTCCCATGGTCCGTTTGGGGTGAAATTTTCCACAGATATCGACTTGATGTAAATGAAGGTGAGGAAGAAGCGTTTCCAAAATAGGTTTTTAAAAATTTTATATATAATTTTTAAGTTTAAAAGTTAAATTGCGGCCAAAACAAGGGTTAATGATGTCCGTTTGGGCTGAAATTTTGCTCAAACATGCATTAGACCTTGCCGGAAAAAGAAAGAAGAATTGCATCGAAAGAATGCTTCTTCTCTGAGATATTATACCTTTAAACCTCGCCATACAGGGCGCCACCCTCCCCTTTGGCGGCCCCAGTCTCGAGTCAGGGCGGGCGGGTCTAGCTTCCCCAAGACAGGCCCCAGTCTCCCCGTTGGCCTAGTGGTTAGCACGCTGTACTGGGAAGTCTTGCCCCACGGGTTCGAACCCCACCCGCAACATCCGTTTTGCCGATTGGCCCCCGTGCATCCTTATGGTTTCTATTACCGTTACAAAGGCCGCAGGCAAATTTTGAAGTTTGTGTACAAGAGTTCATCTGAATAAGTATAGCTTATTTTACGATCTTAACAATAAGATTGAGGCAAAAAGGGCTAAATTCTCTCTAGGGCTAAAAAGAGTCTTTTCAAAAAAGGGGCTTTTGGTTCTCGCAAAAAGAGAATTCTCGTGGCAACAAAGAGCTAAATTCCTTTCAAACTCTTAAAAATGCTATAGAATGTGGGATCAACCAAAAGTTGCTGGCACCTTATTAAAATGGACAGATCTAGTTTCTAGCGGTTTCGGCTTGCAAATAATTTCTGTATTATGATCGATTTGCACTTTCTTGAAATTAATCTGTGGACCTGACCTGTGATCTGGGATGGTACCGAGTTTATTAAGGTTTTAAATAGCCAGCAACTTTGTTGTTCCCGCTAGCATTTTAAGAGTTTGAAAAATTTAGCTCTTTTGCCACAGCTCTACTTATTTTTGACCTAAAGGTCAAATCGATAAACGATGCACATTTTTCTTTAGACATTTTGAGTCACTTGTTTTTACACTTATTTATCGAAAAAAGTCCCAGGATCGCATTAAATGGCTTATGAGATGAATCCAAGAGCTCCGAGTGCCATGCCGACGAGTCCACCTCCCATCACTACAGTAAATCCAGCAGTGGCTGCAAGTACACCTCCGACTCCTCCTGCATTCCATGCGGCTGGGAAGAAGTTCCATGTGAACGGTGGAGAGGCTGGGGGCAAGTTTTCATCCTTTCCGTCCATCTAAAACAACAGATTTATCTGAGTCCAGGGCCATTTCAGATCGAAGCCATTCATATTAATCGAGTATCACGGAAAAATATAAAAGTCGGGTGGCTTGACCCTTCAACCAAAGCTGGAACTTATTTTCTGAAACTTTATTAGGAGAAATCGGGTAGAGCAAAGACGGAGTTCAGGGAGTCGGTAGAACGCCGGTAGCCAAACACCCTTCGAGGCACAACTTGAGGCACATTGGAGCTCCAGCAGCCCCAATCCCGCTGATGAGCGTGCCGCCGGTACAAATGGCGGCGCACCCTAAATAAGCGTAAAGTAAAGGAGAGAAAGGCCCTCAAAAAAAATTTTTAAGAGCACCATTCGGTAGCCATAGGGCCAACTGTTATTCCCGAAAATAAATAACACAGTTCATACCATTAAAGCATTTACAAGGGAACCTCAAGTTGGCACGGTGGAGTTAGGAAAAACGCTCGCGGCTACCCCTAGGTTTTCGACTATGGCGATTCCAACGGTCTGGTCAGAATTTCCTAAATGGACCTCTGGACAGAGATACAACACTTCCGGAAAATGATAATTTAAATCCGAGAAATTAGCATTAGCGATAGGTTTATGAGGCTCTCCCAGCTCTATGGAATCACCAGTTGAATGGCCGAGTGGTAAGCGACTCGCTTGATAGGATACTGACGAGGGTTCGAATCCGCTCACGATTTTTTATTTTGCTTTTTGCTCGCAACTTTCTGCCCAACTCCAACTTTTGATTTTTACTATAGGAAAAATTTTTGGTTATGGCCCCAGGCTGATTTCTCTCAAGAAGCCTCAAAACTCGTTCGAAATTCAACAAATGGGGTCTACCCATATTCCGGTTTTTCCTTACAGATGGGCCACTATGATTTACTTGGATGATATTTTTTTGCATTTTTTTGGCTTTGCCAATGCTTTTAGACGTTTTAGAAAGAGAACGACTTTTCGAAAAAAAGTAACCAAAAGTGGATTTGGGCAGAAAGTTGCGATCAAAAAGCAAAATAAAAAATCGTGAGCGGACTCGAACCCTCGTCAGTATCCTATCAAGTGAGTCGCTTACCACTCGGCCATTCAACTGATGATTCCTAGTGCTGGGAGAGCCTCATAAACCTACCGCTAATGCTAATTTCTCGGATGTAAATCATCATTTTCCGGAAGTGCTGTATCTCTGTCCAGAGGTCCATTTAGGAAATTCTGACCAGACCGTTGGAATCGTCATAGTCGAAACCTAGGGGTAGCCGCGAGCGTTTTTCCTAACTCCACCGTGTCAACTTGAGGTTCCCTTGTTAGTATATTTTTCGAAGCTTTATCGAATGGTGTCCTAAAAAAAATTCGAAAAAGATAAAATCTCCAACATTTTGGGACCCTCGGGAGTGCGGTAAAATCCACCGCAGCCCAAATTTCGGACGAAAAAGACAACCTACCTCCGACACAGAAGGCGTAGAGCGTTGGGCCACCTAGGGCCAAGCCAACGAGTAGTAAGAGAAGGAAAATTCGAATCAGGGCTGAGTTCTTCATTTTCTTGTTGAGTGTTGTGAAGTGGACGGGAATGGTGTGTTCAAGAGAAACCTGCCCCTTTTTATACGCCCGAATTTGAATTTCTTGTGTAAGAGACTGGACCAAGGGCTCGAAAACACGGCCATTAAAATTGCTGTTTCAACATTGACATTGGCGGCGAGTTTGGCCCCGGCAAGTTCAGCTTAATGTCGGCAAGACTTGGTGGCGCTTCCCGGTTTGTGAATCACCATTGTTTTGTCTCACCAAATGCGATTCCGCCCCCCGCTCTGGGATACACGAACACAGAATTACGTTGAATTCATTGCACAAGACATACCAGTTCGTCGTGATTTTCGCTCGTGAATGGAGCTGCCCATAAACAGCTCCGGTATTAAAGGTGAAAGTAACTTTCTCCGCAATTATTATTTAGATAGAAACCACCTTACAAAATAGTCAGAGGGCTTAAAATAAACACAAGTTACAGGGTGTCCCAATAAAAAAAACAGACCCCTCTAACTCGACTCGGAATTATCGGATCGGCATGATAGTTACACAGCCCTTCAAACGGCGAGTTTGCGACAATCTTCAAAACCGTGTTGTTATTTCAATGCTCAATTTTACAAGCCATTTTGTAAAATACCGCTTGTCAGGGTTGCATACGAGCTAAGCGGCCTCAATTTCTCCATACAAAATGACCGGAAGTAGCCGTTAATTAAATGCAGAAGCCGTTTCTCAATGTTTTTAAATGCGTTTTAAAACCGGCGTTTCAATAAAAACATGGCTTTGAAAATTAGTGCAAACTCGCCGTTTGAAGGGCGTTCGAGGGGTGTAACTATCATCCCAATCAGATACTTCTGTTTCGAATTTTTTTATTGGGACACCCTATAGTTCAAGTAGGGTTGCGGCAAGCTTTTTTGCAGCGTGTTCGTTTCCAGGGATTGCCTGAATAATAGATGAAGTTGCTCTACCCTTTAATACCGGAAGTGTTTATGGGATACTCAACAATGAACGTTGAGGCCCAATAAGATTAAACCTCAATTCAAACTTACGCAAAATACTTTCTGAACGTTGGGGTACAGCTGCAACGGCCCGAGAAGGTTTCATCATTCAAACGACAATTTGTTTTGTAAGGCAATTCAAGACAAGCACGTTTTTCACGGTTTATTCCCAGAAAAAATGCACAGCAACACAAGCGACGATACGAATGGGATACGGTATAGACTGGGTACAGACGAGTATTTCCACAGGAGAAAAGTACGGATATTTTCTGTGGAACGATGATGGTCGGGGGTTGGCTCGGTGATTCGTTGATTTGTGCTTCTCATTTCTTGCCCTCTTCCTTCGGTTCCTTCGCTTCCTTCGCTTCCTTCGCTTCCGTCGCTTCCTTCGCTTCCTTCGCTTCCTTTTTCTCCGTCACCGCCCGTTCGACGCTGCAAAACGCCCAATTCGTTCGGTTTACAAATTTAGAGGCGTTTGGAGCGCATGACTTACGGCAGCGGGCGAGCGTAATCATCGACTTTCCATCCCTCAGCGAGCTTCTTGTCGAAGTCCTTTTGCGCTGAAATCAAAAAGATAGAAACTTATGCGGGTTGTCCGTCAAAAAGATCCCAAAATTTGACCCTGACAAGGGAAGTGTATATGCTTCAGTTAGTAAATTTTGCGGTGCCAGTTGTAGGGTTGTTTTAACACTCCTCACAAATGATTTTTAGGCTCGGAAATAGTTTAATTTCCGGCATCAGTTTAACGACACCAGTTTTGAAACTCACTCTTGATGCTTGTGTGTCTAATGTTGACGATGAAGATCGGCACGATGGCATTCTCCTCGGGGTCGACGAAGAGGATGGCGCCGAGATTTGGCTAGAAAAGCGGAGCCATGGGTAAGAGTCTGGAACCCCCTCCCCCACAACACCCCCCAATTTTTCAGCCAAAGGCCTATTAATGCGCAGAGTATCTCAAAATGCTCGCCGTGGCCGAATTACTCCAAAAAAGTTTTTCGGTACGTCAAAAATTGCGAGAAATTTTTTACAAGATTTTAAGACATGAAAAGCTTTTATAGGCTGGGACTAAAGGCTTTAATTGTTATAAAAGTTTTTTTAGCGGGTTTTGATGTAAGAAAGCTATGATTTAATGGTAGTACAACCACGGCAAACATTTTGAGATAGTCCATGCATTAATATAGGACGTATGGCTGAAAAGTTGCGGCTGGTAGGTTCCTTTAGTAGAAATTTTGCTTTTGTGAAAGTTTTTACGAGTTTCAATAAAATTTAGTTAAGTTTGCGGAGAAAACATGAAAACAACTAAAATGTCAAAATTTTGGTGGAAAAATGGCTTTAGTTCAGGGCAGAAGGCACTAGCATAGCAAGTGGATACCCCGAGCTCGTGGCCCGATGTGGAGAAGACAGTAGCCAACGGGAGGTCACCGAGCCGTCGCACGCCGTTCGTCATCACCTGTAAAGAGGATGACGATGGAGCCGGTTTGTGTAACCTGGTGGCCTCGGATCACGAACTCGACGTCAAGCCATTTCATCTGGTTTGTGATCAATTCGGTGCCCATACGATGCCCGGGATGGAGCTTCTTGTTGGGCGGGTAGCTAAAAGCAAAGCATCAACAAAAACCCAGATTCCGGCCTGTACGGGGTGCCCCCAAAAAGAAGCCGTCGGTATTTCGCCGTAAGGCACCAATCCGTGCGGAAATTGGGTCCGAGCTGTATAGCAGGGACGTTGCGTAATGTCGGCCTCACGCTTCTTAAGACTATTTTAAATGCTATGCAACCTATTTTTTCTAATTTTTTGACCTTTGCTCTAATTTTCTTTCGTTAATTTTTCATTTTTGTTGGTACTGTTCTATTTACAAGGGAAGGGGGGAGGGGCCATCTCAAAATTAAAAACCCCCGCGGCCCCCCCCCGGGGGGGGGGCGGGGGGGAAAGCGGGGGGGGGGGGAAATTTTCCCCCGGGCCCGGGGGGGGGGGAAAGGGGCCCCCCGGGGGGGAAAATTTTTTTGGGAAAAAAAAAAAAAAATTTTAAATTATAAAAAAAGGTTCAAACATACAACCACCTCCGGGGGGTGGTTGGGGGGAAAGGGGGGCTCTTTCTTTTTAAAAGGGGGGAGGGTGGGCTTCTCCAATATTTTTTTTTTTTTGGTTGGGGTTTTTTTTGGGGGGGGGGGGGAGTTAACAAAACCCCAAAAAAAAAAAATAAAAAAGTTCCGGGCCCCGGGCCCAAAAAAAAAAAAAAAAAGGAAAAGGGGGGAGGGGGGGTGGGAATTTGCCGAAGGGACAACCAAAAACAAAAAAGGAAAAAAAAATTTTTGGGGGGTTATAAAATTTTAGTTGTTTGATTTTTTTGGGCCGCCCTTTTTTTTCGGGCTCCCCCGGCAGGGGGGGGCGGGGGGGTAGTTTCGCCCCCATCCCCCCAGGCGGTGGCCGGGGGGGGGCGGGGGGGCGGGGGGGGCGCCTCGGCCCCCCCCCCCCCCCCCCCCCTTAGCCGGGGGCAAAACAGCAGGGTTTTTTTCTCGATATTTTCGCTATTTTTGCTGGCGGTTTTCTTGATGCGTTTTCATATAGCATCAAAAAATATAATAAGACCTTTCTTACACCACCACAGCCTTCATTACCTCCATCACTACCCACGCTAACGGCTTCAGATCCTCCCATAGCTCAAAACCCCCCTTTAAAAACCACCTAAATACCTTCCGGATGGCTTCAAATCCCCCCCATAGCCGAAACCCCCTTAAAAATCTCTTTGATACCTTCCTGATGGCTTTAGATACTTTAAATGATTTAAATAATGAATTAAAATAAATAAAAAGTATTAAAGGAACTTAAAAAGCGATCTGGGCGCGGGGGCAGGCCTGGAGAAGGGGGGCCGGGAAAGGGGGCGTGGCCTGACGGGAAAGGGGCTCACACTCGTATTATTAAGGCGTCACCTTCAAAGTTAATTATTTTTATTTGGCTATGGGGGGGGGTATCGAAGGCCATCAGGAAGGTATCTAGGCAGTTTTTGAAGGGGGTTTTGGCTATGGGGGGGTATCGAAGGCTATCAGGAAGGTATCAACTATAATAATTTTGCTGTGGTCTCCGTCCGTCCGTCCGTCCGTCTGAAGCCGAATTCAACTCGAAGGGGAAATGAGCTAGAGCTTAGCTCTCTTCGGATTCGGATAGAGCGCCGTCAGAAACCCCCAAACTGATAAAAAATTAAGAAAAAGTTTTTGTTTAAATTATTAAAATTAACTTTGAAATTTTTTCCTTAGTAAAAGGGGTGGGCGCCCCTCTCCCGGGAGGCCACGCCCCCTTTCCCTTCGCCCCTCTTCCCCAGGCCCCTTCCCGCGCCCAGATAGCTTTTTTAAGTTACTTTAATACTTTTTAATACTTTTAATACTTTTTAATACTTTTTAATTATGTTAATTAATTATTTAAATCATCTAAAGCCACCGGGAAGGTATCTAGGTAGTTTTTGAAGGGGATTTCAGCCATGGGGGGTATCTGAAGCCATCGGGAAGGTATTTAGGTAGTTTTTGAAGGGGATTTCAGCCATGGGGGGTATCTGAAGCCATCGGGAAGGTATGTAGGTAGTTTTTGAAGGGATTTCAGCCATGGGAGGTATCTGAAGCCATCTGGAAGGCATTTAGGTAGTTTTTGACGGGGATTTCAGCCATGGGGGGTATCTGAAGCCATCGGGAAGGTATGTACAGGGTGGCTGAAAAGTTCCCGCAATTTCTTGATGCTGTTAAATGGACTGGAAATTCCTAAAATTCTAATGAGGTAGAGAACTTATGGTAACTAATAGTTTAATTAAGACGTAAAGCACAAATTGCAAAACAAAAATCCACAATAAATCTTCACAGCTTCCCCCAGACGCTTCGATACAAATGCGTATACACCTTGAAAAGTTGCCTCCCTTGGTCGCGCCCTCTGCCACAATAACCGAGGCCTAGCACTTTCCAGGGCTGTTTTAAGGAAATTCACTGTAGTGGGCCGTTTTTCTGAGCTCTTTTGCTACAAAATGGTCGAAACCGAAAGATCAAAAAAAATTGAATCCACTGAGTTGGAGGCCCAAACATCAAAGCCGCAAAAACCCGTTTGCCACTTTCCCCAGAGGGTGACGGTTGAAAGGGCCGGAAAACCTGGTGTCCAGTCTTGCTTAAGCGTGAAAACGTTTTAACTAAAAGATTGCTGAATTCATGGCTCTGAAACGATCCTAATGGCTTGATATTAATGCTCGGTGACTTCGATTTTTACATTTTTTTGAACGAAAACGGTTTAAGGGTTGCTGGGGCTCTAGATTTCTAATCAAATCATCAAAGTTCTCGGAAAACGGGAACGATAGACCAAGACTCCTGTATTAACCGTTTCTGAAGAGTTTACGATGATTTTGCCCGTTCCGGCTCGATTCTATAGCGAAAACATCGACGCCTCCTTGCTCACTGGGAGGGCGCGACCATGGCCGGCAATTTCCATGGCTGCCTGCGCGCTTCTATTCAGCTGCTGATGGAATTCGTGAACATTTCTTGCGGATTTTTGTGTTGTAATCTGTTGATTACGTAGTAAATAAAGTTTCTGTTGCCTTACCTCAGCCAAATTTTAGGAATTTTCCGTCTATTGACCTGCTAGAAGAAATTGCGGGAACTTTTCAGCCACCCTGTAGGTAGTTTTTGAAGGAGATTTCAGCCATGGGGGGTATCTGAAGCCATCTGGAAGGCATTTAGGTAGTTTTTGAAGGGGATTTCAGCCATGGGGGGTATCTGAAGCCATCGGGAAGGTATGTAGGTAGTTTTTGAAGGGATTTCAGCCATGGGGGCTATCTAAAGCCATCGGGAAGGTATTTAGGTAGTTTTTGAAGGGGATTTCAGCCATGGGGGGTATCTGAAGCCATCGGGAAGGTATGTAGGTAGTTTTTGAAGGGGATTTCAGCCATGGGGGGTATCTGAAGCCATCGGGAAGGTATGTAGGTAGTTTTTGAAGGGATTTCAGCCATGGGGGTATCTGAAGCCATCGGGAAGGTATGTAGGTAGTTTTTGAAGGGGATTTCAGCCATGGGGGGTATCTGAAGCCATCAGGAAGGTATTTAGGTAGTTTTTGACGGGGATTTCAGCCATGGGGGGTATCTGAAGCCATCGGGAAGGTATTTAGATAGTTTTTGAACGGGATTTCGGCTAGGGGAGGTATCTTAAGCCATCGGGAAGGTATGTAGGTAGTTTTTGAACGGGATTTCGGCTATGTGGGGTATTGATGGAGGTGGGAAAGGATGTGGTGGAGTGAGACATGGAGGGTAGCCCGAAGGCCAGATGGTTGCAGTCGCGAAGCGACTGTAACCATCTGGTCTTTTATTAGTAGCTTTAGGGCGTTGCGGCTATGGGAGGCATCTGTAGCCATTAGCGTGGGTATTGATGGAGGTAGGGATGGATGTGATGGTGTATTACATGAAGGGTAGCCCGAAAGCCAGATGGTTACAGTCGCGAAGCGACGGTAACCATCTGGTAATCCAAGAAAAGGCAACGTACCCTTTGAGGTCTTCCGTGGGATTGTTCCATGTCATTGCCGTGTTTAACACCTTGCGCGTCTTTTGCCACGGCTCCCACCCACTTTCAAGGAGCTCTGGTGTCAGTTCCATGGCTGAAATGGATGGTGGTGACCAGGGTTGGTCATTTTCGGATCGGACTGGATCCGGATCCAAGGAAATGGATCATGCAACCGAGTTAAGTGCTAATTCTTAGATGCAAATTTCAGTTCTGCCTCTGGGCTATGTATTTTTGCGATAAACATGACCGAATCAGCATCAGAATCGAGAATATTACTTCCGGTCCCTTTTTTCCTCGGATCCGCATTGGATCCGGATCCGAGCGGATCCGGATCTGGATCTGGATCCGGATCCTACTGCGGATCCGATCCGGATCCGGATCCAGATCCGATCCGGATCCTTACCGATCCGGGTCCGTCGGCGAACAACCCTGGTGGTGACTATGGATTAAGACGAAACCAGAGGTACTGGACTGTTAGCGGGGTGGGAACCGCTTGACCTATACCGGAAGATATACAGGGTGTCCCAAAAAAAACGAACCATCTGGCATTTCGCCGTGTTACATGCAATCGGCTCAAAATTTGGACCAGAGGTGTATCAGACCCTAAATAACAACAATCCTGACTTATAGCCCCGTAGCTATCGTCGTTCTCGAGTTATAACGAAAATACTGTTTTTCATGCAATTTTAAACAGTTTTTCGGCTATCTTTTTGGACTTTGCATCGATTTGCATCGATTTCCGGCTACGAATCCCTAATTTCGCTTAACAACTGGGCAATTTTGCGTTGTAAAAATCGCTTAAATCGAAGCTTATTTAATTAATTTTACACTGGAAAAAATTTCTTAAGGTAAAGAAGGCCTTCCGGATCATTTTCACTTAATATTAAAGGGGTCTAATTCCACGAAAACCCTATGAAAAATACAAAA